ATGGGTAATTCTTCGTCTGAATGTAGCAAAAGAACAAGATTAGGATCCGAATCCAGAAACTCCTAAAATTACGGTTTGAAATGTCCAAATAAACAACTTTCATCGTCATTATCAATCGGTTAAATTGTCTTTTTCTGGGAGATATTGTAAAAAATTAACCTTAAAAACAACATAATTTTTTAATCCTCTTCTCTTGGAATTTATGACCTCACTACACTTTTCTTTCTCTTGTTCATTTTCTGTTTCATTTTCAAGATGACCCACCCACCTGTGAGCCACATGCACCCATCACTGAGATAGAAACCTAATAACGTGATATCGTAATAAACCAAAAGAAAAAGGAAACAAAAAAAGAATATACTATATGCATAAAAAACATATAAATATAATATTTCATACATTTTAACGTGAATTTAAAAGAAAGTTATTCATTAATTCTTTCATTAGTGTCGCTAAAATAATTATTAAAAAGATATGTATGGTAAGGAAAGAAAAAGAGACACGTACATCTTATAATAGTAAGATATTGTCCATTCTCAATTAAGTTATTAAGAATTTATTTTTGATATCACTTTAGAAAATATCTTATAAGGAAAATATTATGTGTATATAAATTCATATTTATCTTTTTGTTTTATTTTACGTGAGACTTTGTTTGTATTTTAAAATAGTATCTTTTAATTATTTAACAAAAATAACAAACTAATTTTACTATAGAAAGAACTACTTAATATTTTTCACTGAAGTAATATAGTGCTGTTGTATGAAATTAACAAAGTAAACATTTTATCCCATTTTTCCAATTTTGAATAACTCTGGTTATTAGAACAACAAGAGAATCTTCTTAAAAAAATAATGAGTCAGTTATAAAATGAGTATTATTAAAATTGGCTATTATAGCAACGTCTTCGTTGACGCGGTTGCTATTGACCGTGCACTTATTTCGCTTATATATTAATTTTAAAAGAATCGGAAGAACATTATTAATTATATATTTATTTTAATAATATAAAAAAAACACAATTAAGTTTGTAAAACAAAAAAAATATTCTTTAGTTTTTATTTTTTCTGTTGAGTAGAGACTTTTTGTTTTGAATAAAAAATGGTTTAAATAAATTACTAAAAAAAATAATAAACATAAAAAATCTTAAGATATGTGTACTTTACTATCCTCTAAAGTTATCAATCTTTCACACGTTCGTCTTTCCGTACGGTTTCATGGCCGTCCTCCCAGATTGACCACCGAAGTCAATTATTAGGCCGAACACCTAGGTTGACCACATGATTAGATTATAAACGATAATAACTCATTATGCCCTAATGAAGATTAAGGTGCGATTAGACCGTTATTAGATCGGCGAAAGGTAGAAGTCCATCACAATTAGTATAAATAAAGATCTCAGGTATGACTTTAGGACAAGATGCACAATATACATGTATTATTTGCTCTCCAACCGCCTCGTTACATTACTAACTTGAGTCACGTTCGTCTCGTCTTTAACTTAGAGTGCTTTGAGTACGAGACTTCAATCCTATACCCGAAACAATATGGATTTCTTGATTAAATTTAAAAAAATGGTTTTATAATGGTTAGTAAATAATATCTTAACTATGAAACTAAAATAAATGTGGTAACGTATATTAAATCATATATATGACATTCTATAAGTTATATTTTGAAAACTATTAATATATTATTTTTATTAAAATAGAAAATTATTTATGTTTATATTTTATATCATTATATTATATATATATATATATATATATATTCAGACTCGTTTAAGCCAGATAAAATATAATTATCTGTAAAAAATATATTATTTTCTTAAAAGAAGTAAATTATGTTTTCTACAAAAATAAATTATCCTTTTGTTGTAATTTTACAAAATAGCCACCAAAATTACTTTATATCAGGTTTGAAAAATTACGAAAGAAGTCATATATTTTGGTATAAAATAATTTAGCTATTTTTTAAAAAGCAGAAGATAATATAGATGTAAAATAATTGATGCTTAATTAGTATGAAAAAAAATGGTCTTTTAAATAATACTCATTCTTGTTTTTCTTTAATATAAGACATATTTTAAAATAACTCTATATCTTGAAACAACATTTTGTAGTTTTCATAAATGAAAAAAAAATTGTTGCTTAATCCAATTAAATATTTACATACACATATGTTTTTTTATTAATAAATAATTATTTTTTTATAATATTAATAATACCTATAATTTTGTATGGTTTTATTTTAAAAGTTAAAAAAAATTATTTGTTATTAATATATGTAACTTTTGTTAAAAGTGTTCTATATTATGTATAAATAGCTTTGTATTTAGGGCGAGGAAGAATAATTAATTAAACTATTTGAAATTGTAATCAAATTGAAATTTTTTGTAATTTAGTTACTTTGAACATCTGTAATAAAATATAAAAAAAATTAAAGATAATTGGTCTTTAATAATTAAAAAAATTCTTAAGAAACAAACCAAAACATTCACAGTGTTTCTAATAAACTCTAATCATTCTTGTTAATTATATATAACTTAATTTGTAAACTATGAGAAGAGAAAATTGACTAATTTTCGTGAGATGCAATTTTTATTATCAGTTGGTAACTTTTAATATTTTTTACTTTTTTTATTTATTTTAATAAAATTTCATATGATAATAAAAGATGGATGAAGTTTAAATATATTAGAACTCATAATAATACTTCATAGTAATACTTCGTATAAGTTTATTTATAATTAGTTTGGCATGCTATAATTAAGAAAGTTGAAATGTTGGATTGGTTCCGTGGTGAACAGCTCCACCACTCTCATCAATTTTAAACTATTATTTTTTTTTCTAGTGCTATAATATTTGTCCATACACTAATCTGCCTTAACTCAAATATTCCTAGTGTCATGATATATTTCACAATCAATCATTGATCTCATGAATCGTCTTACAATTCGTATCAATGATCTTCATAGTATTAAGTAATTTTCATTGTAATTATTATAATCATTAAGGTATATAAAATTTAATAATGTGATAGAATAAAGAAGTTTAAAAGGGTAATTTATTTTAATAACCAATTTAAAAATAATTTATTATTAAAATATGTTATTTAAGTAAGAAAAATATTAATTATAAATAATTCTTAAAAGTAGGAAATTTAATAGTTGTATTTTAAAAAAAATAATAGTTTAAAATTGTTCATATTTTAAAAATTTATTAACTTTTTTTCTTCAATTCAATTTTCGTTTAAAAGTGTTGTGGACTTTGATTAAGATTGAAAATATTACTGGTTTGATTAGATTTATGTGTTATAATTTGAATATTATTTTTTTGACAAAAATATAATTTTAGACTAAACTATTCGTGATTTTATTTAATTGACTTTATCAATTATTTTATTGTTGATCTTATCATATTTATTTATCAATTAATACTATTTAAGATTTTCTTGATGTATATTAATACTGTTTTGTCAGCTAGTTTTTAAATATTATTTTTTTCAATTTTATATTAATTAAAATTATTTTTAATTGATGTTAATACCAATGTTAATTATTTTTTTAGAATAATATTGAAATAAGTAGTTTTTAGTTAGAAAATCAATTAAATTTATTTTATTAATGTAAAGACCAGTTTTCATTAATTTTTATTTTATCATGTAATTATATGATAAGGTTTACACTAGTGTAATTTGGCTTTATTAATTATTAATGGATGTGAAATTTTCAGTACATCTTCTCTCACTATAAAATACAAGGGTTAAATATGTTTTTAGTCCCTAAACTATTGGCCGTTTTCTGGTTTTCGTCTCTCTTCCAAAGTAGGTACGATTTGGTCCTCATTCTTTAAAAAAACGTTCGTTTTAGTCCTCAAAATTTTGTTTTTAGTCCTCGTTTTAGTCCCTCAAAACGTTCGTTTTTTCGACTTAAAACGATAACGTTTTTTGTAAAAGATGAGGACACAAATCGTACCTTAGTTTGAAGAAAAAGAGGGGACGAAAAAAACCAGAAAACGGTCAATAGTTTAGGGACTAAAAACATATTTAACCCTAAAATATATATATCATATCATACATCAATATATAATTTAATAATTATTCAATAGAGAGAATGAAATAATAAGTTTAACCAGCAACAAATTTCACTAAACTTATGCTTTTATGATGCCACGTTAAACAATAGATTTTAAGTATATTTCAATCCTATAAAAAATTTAATTTATGATATACTTTTTATATGATATGATGTGATCCTTTATGTTTTTTTTGTTTCTTTTTAATTTTTTTGTTAAAATCTTTATGTCATGTGATGTCAAGTATGCATTTATTAAAAGAAAATTTAATGTTTAAAATATAAATAAATTTTAGACAACCGTTTAAAAAATGAAAATACTTATTACTATTAAGCATATGATATGGGAAACTAAATTATCAGTTGAAAAAAGAAATTCCATGATTTTGATAATAAAAATGATACAAATAATGAAATAAATTTTTATTAAGTTTTTATAAAATATCACACAATTTATTTCCAACTATCAAGAAAACTTATTGTTCACGGCAGACAAAAATAATTTATTTGGATTTAAAAATTAATTATATAAATATATTAAAATTTAAAAAAATTTGAAATTTCTTAATATAATTCCACGGAAATACATAATTAATTATTTTCAAAAATTTAATTCATAACCATTCTTATTCCAATTAAATTAATCTATTATTCAATTTATTTTATTTTATTTTTCTAACATCTTATCGATGTTTTTTTCACGGTCAAATCATATTATACCATTCATCTGTTTCCAACACACACTGACAGTCTCTCTCTTTCTTTTTTTCTCATTATCAAGAATTCCAGTTAAACATGGTAGTTAATATTTAATATAAAAATCCATTTATTCTGCTAAAACGAGCCCCACTGAGAAAAGAACAAATAGAAGGGATGGGAGGGGTCTACACGGCATAGAGCTATGATGAAGTCCCACTATTGAACGGTTGAGATTTAATGATGAGTGTGGACCCAGAGTCATCCCCATTCTATAAATTATCCCACTCCGACATACCTCTTCTCAACACTCTCATCTCATTACAAAAGATGCGCAGTTGGAAACTTCTCCTGCTCTGGGCCGCTCTCATGTTCGCGGCCTTGGGAGTAAAAGTGTCTTTTCCCATCGCCGCCACCCACCTCCCTCTCGTATGGACCTTCCTCCTTCTCTGCTTCAAGCCTCCTTACCTCTTCCTCCTTCTCAACACCATCATCATCTCCATCGTTGCATCCTCCAGGTTCCACCACTCCAAACCTCAATCCGATCCAACTCCTCCGCCACCTCTTCAACCCAAATCCCTCCTCCAAGAACAAGAAGTGGAAAAGGAAATAATCCACCAAGAAATCACACTCAAGAGAACAGACTCAACGGAGATTCCATCGTCCACGGAGAAGCCTCTCGTGTCTGCTAGGTTCACTCACCGGAAATTCCTTAAATCCACTTCTGAAGGTATACATACTCACCTATTAATTTAAATTCAGTTTAATAATGATTATACAATGTCATTGAAAAACTTTTCTACAGTAATTTTTATAAAATGATTATTTATTATGTCATTATTGTTTCCATACGTTAAAACAATGTATAACAGTTAAGTTTGAATACGCGCAAGTTATTGTCGTTTAGCAAGTTGCATGTAGCGGCTTTCAAACAAAGTTGACTGAACCGAAGAATGTGCAGGTGGGAGAGCGTTGAAGGTGGTGGGCAAGGCCAAACGGCACGAAACGTTGGAGAGCACGTGGAAGGCCATAACGGAAGGTCGATCCGTGCCATTGAGCAGACACATGAAGAAGTGTGACACGTGGCAGAGCCGCGGCAACCTCGCTCCGTCTCTTGAAAACAAGTCCGGCGAGATCTTCACCGACGTTTCCACCGCCGGGAGGCTGCGGAAAGAGCCGTCGCTGAGTCAAGAAGAGTTGAATCGGCGCGTGGAAGCGTTCATACGGAAGTTCAACGAGGAGATGAGGTTGCAGAGACAAGAATCCTTAGAACAGTACATGCAGATGGTTAGCCGCGGTGCCGCTTAGTCTCAATGATTTAATATTTTGTTAGTTACATTTTACAGACAAAAGGAAGAAAAAACAGTGTAAATAGTTGAATAGGGTATAGACAGTGATAGTTTTGCAGTTGAATAACTGTTTTGTTTTGTTTTATTTTATTTTATTTTATTGGCATATAAGTTTAGGGTTAGGTTAGGGTGATGATCATTATTATTTTTTGTTTGTTTTGTGGCTATGTAAGATCCATATCCCAAATATGTGGTTCAAGTTAAACATGAATTAGATAGGATAGAAATACAGAAAAAACACATCGCATTAGATATGTTCCTCTTTGTAACTCTGTTGGGGTATACAAAATTACTATAAATTAATTTGTAAATAAAAATATTTTAATTTTGTTTTTATCTTTCTAACATTGTATTTTACAAATTTTTCCTCATCGTAAACGTAAAATGAAACAATTTATGGCTGGAAATTATATATGATAGATTGCTATAGTTAAAAGAAGTATATCCCTAAACTTAATGTTTTAAAAAGTAATTGTTCAAAGTCCCTAAGACGATATCTTTATATATATATATATATAAAGTGAATGTAAATCTTATTTTATATTTTTTTTAAATTAAATTTGGTTTAAAAATACACTTTTTAATATAGTATTAAAAATATTACTATACACGAAGCAAAAGATAATTATAGATATCCATGCATATCTTACAATTAGTGTACTTCAAGTAAACTCCTTTGAGAAACTTATCAAAATACACTATTTTTAACTTTATAGTTTTATACATATTATCTAATAAATAAATAATGAAATTTATGCAACAGTTCATATTTTTTGTTTTAAATCAAACAATCTTATAACTTTTATTTTTTAAAAGATACACATTTATTTAAAAAAATATAAAAATATATATAAATACTTGAAGTTTTTTAATATAAACTCAATTAAAAATATAAGTATTAAATATTAATTAAATCATAAAAAGAAAATAACACTCGAACTAACCACTCAAACTAAAAGACAAATATGTGAAAGCCAATAAAGTAAATATTTGCAAAAGAAAAAAAAATAATGTGAAAAGAAGGAGTGAAGTTTGAAACTTTGACTATTAGATCACCGGCTTTCGTCTTTTGAACGTGGACACAGTTTAAATGGACAAAAGTCAACCCAAAAACGGAAAATATTTAAGAAAAGAAAAAATAAATAAGTACAAATCAAAGATTATGTTCCCTTCTAAATAATCAGTGAAGAGCTAATGAGACACGTTATTAGAAAAACAATTAAGAAATGAAAGCCTCTTATCCAGAAAAATCCCAGGACCAAAACAAAAATGAATATGATGTAAATTTGACCACATACATCGGAACGTTTTGAGTAAAACCATATCCTTCCAAACATACATTTTAAACATTTTAAATTGCCCTAATTTATACATGACATATAAACTTGTTACCACAACTTGTTTTCGTTTCTATCGGAAATTCAAGTATGATAATACGGAAATTCATGTATTAATGTTTAATTTTTTTAATTGAGAATAGTAATAAATAAATANTGGGAGTAAAAGTGTCTTTTCCCATCGCCGCCACCCACCTCCCTCTCGTATGGACCTTCCTCCTTCTCTGCTTCAAGCCTCCTTACCTCTTCCTCCTTCTCAACACCATCATCATCTCCATCGTTGCATCCTCCAGGTTCCACCACTCCAAACCTCAATCCGATCCAACTCCTCCGCCACCTCTTCAACCCAAATCCCTCCTCCAAGAACAAGAAGTGGAAAAGGAAATAATCCACCAAGAAATCACACTCAAGAGAACAGACTCAACGGAGATTCCATCGTCCACGGAGAAGCCTCTCGTGTCTGCTAGGTTCACTCACCGGAAATTCCTTAAATCCACTTCTGAAGGTATACATACTCACCTATTAATTCAAATTCAGTTTAATAATGATTATACAATGTCATTGAAAAACTTTTCTACAGTAATTTTTATAAAATGATCATTTATTACGTCATTATTGTTTCCATACGTTAAAACAATGTATAACAGTTAAGTTTGAATACGCGCAAGTTATTGTCGTTTAGCAAGTTGCATGTAGCGGCTTTCAAACAAAGTTGACTGAACCGAAGAATGTGCAGGTGGGAGAGCGTTGAAGGTGGTGGGCAAGGCCAAACGGCACGAAACGTTGGAGAGCACGTGGAAGGCCATAACGGAAGGTCGATCCGTGCCATTGAGCAGACACATGAAGAAGTGTGACACGTGGCAGAGCCGCGGCAACCTCGCTCCGTCTCTTGAAAACAAGTCCGGCGAGATCTTCACCGACGTTTCCACCGCCGGGAGGCTGCGGAAAGAGCCGTCGCTGAGTCAAGAAGAGTTGAATCGGCGCGTGGAAGCGTTCATACGGAAGTTCAACGAGGAGATGAGGTTGCAGAGACAAGAATCCTTAGAACAGTACATGCAGATGGTTAGCCGCGGTGCCGCTTAGTCTCAATGATTTAATATTTTGTTAGTTACATTTTACAGACAAAAGGAAGAAAAAACAGTGTAAATAGTTGAATAGGGTATAGACAGTGATAGTTTTGCAGTTGAATAACTGTTTTGTTTTGTTTTATTTTATTTTATTTTATTGGCATATAAGTTTAGGGTTAGGTTAGGGTGATGATCATTATTATTTTTTGTTTGTTTTGTGGCTATGTAAGATCCATATCCCAAATATGTGGTTCAAGTTAAACATGAATTAGATAGGATAGAAATACAGAAAAAACACATCGCATTAGATATGTTCCTCTTTGTAACTCTGTTGGGGTATACAAAATTACTATAAATTAATTTGTAAATAAAAATATTTTAATTTTGTTTTTATCTTTCTAACATTGTATTTTACAAATTTTTCCTCATCGTAAACGTAAAATGAAACAATTTATGGCTGGAAATTATATATGATAGATTGCTATAGTTAAAAGAAGTATATCCCTAAACTTAATGTTTTAAAAAGTAATTGTTCAAAGTCCCTAAGACGATATCTTTATATATATATATATATAAAGTGAATGTAAATCTTATTTTATATTTTTTTTAAATTAAATTTGGTTTAAAAATACACTTTTTAATATAGTATTAAAAATATTACTATACACGAAGCAAAAGATAATTATAGATATCCATGCATATCTTACAATTAGTGTACTTCAAGTAAACTCCTTTGAGAAACTTATCAAAATACACTATTTTTAACTTTTATAGTTTTATACATATTATCTAATAAATAAATAATGAAATTTATGCAACAGTTCATATTTTTTGTTTTAAATCAAACAATCTTATAACTTTTATTTTTTAAAAGATACACATTTATTTAAAAAAATATAAAAATATATATAAATACTTGAAGTTTTTTAATATAAACTCAATTAAAAATATAAGTATTAAATATTAATTAAATCATAAAAAGAAAATAACACTCGAACTAACCACTCAAACTAAAAGACAAATATGTGAAAGCCAATAAAGTAAATATTTGCAAAAGAAAAAAAAATAATGTGAAAAGAAGGAGTGAAGTTTGAAACTTTGACTATTAGATCACCGGCTTTCGTCTTTTGAACGTGGACACAGTTTAAATGGACAAAAGTCAACCCAAAAACGGAAAATATTTAAGAAAAGAAAAAATAAATAAGTACAAATCAAAGATTATGTTCCCTTCTAAATAATCAGTGAAGAGCTAATGAGACACGTTATTAGAAAAACAATTAAGAAATGAAAGCCTCTTATCCAGAAAAATCCCAGGACCAAAACAAAAATGAATATGATGTAAATTTGACCACATACATCGGAACGTTTTGAGTAAAACCATATCCTTCCAAACATACATTTTAAACATTTTAAATTGCCCTAATTTATACATGACATATAAACTTGTTACCACAACTTGTTTTCGTTTCTATCGGAAATTCAAGTATGATAATACGGAAATTCATGTATTAATGTTTAATTTTTTTAATTGAGAATAGTAATAAATAAATAAATATATATATATATATATATATAATATCCAATTCCGTCTTTATACAATTATCTTTAAGTAGTGTATTATCAATCATAGTAAATAAAATAGTTTTTATATCTTAGATTTAAATTTTATTTTTCTTAATATTTTTATTTATTATTTTTTTATATAAAAATATTTTACTCTTAAGTAATAAAAAAAACTTATATTTTTTTTTTCTTTTTTATCTTTCGTTTCATTTGTTTTATTTGTTTTATTAAAACAATATTTATTATCTCTAAACAGTTTAACTAGTTTGATATTTGAAAAAAAAATATTTAATATTGAAGATATTTTCCATATTATCATAGTATTAATTATATATTTATTTTACTTTTTCATTCAATAATGTATCAACTTATTTTTAAGATAAACATTTGATCATTTTTATTTCTTTTTAATACTTTTATTTGTTATTTAATTTTATCATGTAAAATATTAATTTAATGATCTTTCATATAATTATTTTTATTTGTTAAATCATCTAAAGTAATTTTATCACTTGAATTGTATAAAGACATAATTTCATATAATATAATAATTTAATTTCGTTTTCATTAATATTGTCTATGATTATCAAGAAATTCAAAAGGTAAAAGATATTATTTAAATTTTAATTATTATTAATTTAATATTTGTTATTTTTTATTCTTCTAAGTAGTATATTATAACTTTTATTAGTATATAAAAAAGATATCATTATTTAGATAAAGGAAGTAAATAGATATTTAAAATATTTTTATAATTGAATATTTGTTTATGTTTTATACATTTTTAAAAATATTTTTTATTTTTATGATTTTTGTATAATTAACATTTATAAATTTAATAAATATTTTGATTAATGTGAAATATTTTTTATTCTAATATATAAAATTGTAATTTATTTCTAAATATTTAATATTGGATACATGATAATACTTTTTTATATTAAATATTTAATAATTTTGTATTTTCTTTGTCGTGATTTTCTTTGTAAAAATTAATTAATTTATATTGATACAGTAAAAAGTGGATTTGAAGATGAGTATTTAGTAAAGATAGATATGAGAACAATATATCTATTAAATATGAATATTTGATTATTTTTAAATGGATATAAGATAATTAAACTTGTTTTCCTCCTATGTTAGGTCATTCTTATTTGTACATCACTCATTCGCTGAATTGCTATGGAATGTGCAGGTACGACGCATAGAGGGAATAATCTGCGCTTCTCTTAACCAAATGCAGTGACGATATGGTTGCAGATAATTTAGCAAAATTAGCTCTCTACTATCACGATACGTCCGCTGTAGAGGTTCCTCTGATGTAACTGCCCCTACTCCTATTCTATTTTCTACATAGCCAGTCATAGATCAACAACATCCTACCATGCCAGAATTTCCTCATTTAAGCTATAATGCATCACTTACTAAATACCTTGGCAGAAGCTAAGTAGATCACTGAAGCTAAGTAGATCATTAAGGGAGAAGCTTGTTAAGTCCTGCGACAAAAATAGCCTGTAAGGTCATACGTAAAATAAATTAAAAACCTGTGCTGGATTCATTTTTCAATTTTATCCCACTCGTTTAAGTCATTGAAGTAGAAAAAAGAGTGAACCCAAACATTTCAGGAATACCAGAGATAACTCAGCCAACAAATATCACGAAGATGCGTATAAACTGGAAAAATTATGGCATCTTGTAAAATTCTCCTTCTAGTGAATACTCACAAATTTCTAAGAATGTCAACTCACAAAAAGGGAAAACATGTCCAAATAAATTATTTACAGAGTAAGATTGCAAAGCATCATTTTCTCCATGTAACATGAAAATGCTTTTTATGTTTGAAGGTTTCAAGCCAATATACATCATGGAGAGATAAAGTCTAACAAAAAGTTCAAGGAAATGCATAGGATCCATATTTAAAGAACATAATTGTACTGTGACACTTGATTCAAAAGAACTGATCAATGACAAACTCAAATTTTTCATTCCAGATTTGAGTCAGCAATGGATCATGATTGTTAAATGCTGCCATTTGCAGTAAGAACCCCAATAACACAATATTTACTCAGTGTCAGCAATGGATTTGACATTTACAGTACCAAACTTGGTTAACTATGCTATTGAATTTGAGGGTACAAATCATGGCTGCAAAATTAAATTGTAACAATTTTTTTTTCAATTTTTGACAAATCTATATCAGCAACCATGTACCCTGTTTTGTACTTCACTGAGACCTGATAACTTGATGCACATTGCAGGAAAAATAGTGGCCCCGTTTTCCCTGTATTGAAGAAAATATAAAATCATGATGCAAATAAAGTCGTAAACAGTGGAGAGATACACAAATTGGAAATCAAGTTCAAAGAAATGTTTGGGCCTAGCAAGCATTTTATAACACTAAAGTAAGAGCATGTTTGGATGAACTTTTCCATGAGGACTTCCAAGAGAGAAAAATAAGAAAAAAAATGAGATTAAAATTCACTTATGGATGAGTTAACTGGTAAAAGTTCTCCCACGTAACTTCTACAAAATTTTTCAAACTTTTATTTTTAGCTTATGCATAAGCATTTTAACTTATAATGAAAATTATATCCATTTTTTTCTCGTCAAAGCCCTTCTGGAGAAGTTGTTAAACAAACCTTAAAAATAAAATGAAGACTCCGCTGGGGATTCACCGATTTAGCACCATCAGAAAGGATCTTCAGCGTTATCTTTGGATTGATAGTACATAATACAAACCAAAACTAATTTCACAGCTACCAAAATTTTATCCGAAAAACCTAGACCGAGCATTTAATTTCGTTTTAGCCTCTTTATTCTCTCAAGAGCACCAAGCCGATTTTCATTATCCTTATCTTTTGCCGCATCTACCTCTCCATTCTTTTCATCCTCGTCTCTCTTTCTAATCAAACCACCAAACACAGCAGAAGGAACATCTTTTTGTGCAATTTCAATCTTATCATCATCATCATCAGAATCACTTTCTTCTGGTAACTCAATATCCTCGTGATTTGAATTAGTTTTTATCCCTCCATCAGATTGAGATTCCACTCCAGCACTCACAAATCCAACTTTTCTATCTTTTGTCACAGTATTGTCAGCTGCTGGTGCTAATTGCCTTTCTAAAGCAGCCATTTCGTCCTCAGGGATCCCAGCCTGTTTTAACTTGTCTTTGGCTTCATCGAGATTCACAGTTTGATCCTTCTGCATTAGATACTCGGGCAGTATAAAATGTGTCTGGAAAAACAGTTGAAGTAAGATTAGAATACAAGTCAAATATCAAGGTTAGAGCCTCACAAAAGAAAACATAAAAGTCAAAGTAACCTGGCTGTAGCTTGCAGAGACGCTTCGCTTAATACGAAGCATTTCTCTGAAAGTATCTTCATTCCCATGCTGAACCTCAAACTCATGCCACTTATTCCAAAACTCTGGATCAGATCGTGGATCTGCATACTGAGATGCAAATACATATACTGCACGGGCCCGGTCAATTTCTCCCAAGCTTTTCTCCAGTTCAGCATACTTCAAACACATGGTTTTGACATCCTTATCTGGGAG